CGGCGTATCCGTTTCATTGACAACCTTTCTTTCCTTGCCATGCCACTGGCTGCTTTTCTGAAGGAAGAAACTGAAGAAAGGCTATTCTTGTCACAAGTTGAACGTCCCTTAGTAGATCGGAAAAACAAGCCGTTCGGTAACCTGCTACCTTTCGAGATGCAAGTAATCATTATCTTCTGGACCCAATGTTTCATGACAAACGACAGAAGGAAAAAAATGAATGGAGAATTAACCCGCCTTCCCTGTTGCCTTCGAACAGCTATTCCAATGTCCGTGGCATTTTCGTTTTCAAGCGGCTACAAACGTTTTTCTTCTGCTACGGAAAAAAAACCTTATCCTCGCTTTTACGGTTGTCCTCTCTGTTTCAGACGAAAAACCAAGCGATACTCAGTATGTTTGAACGTTCGTTTTATTTCGCAATTCATTTGCCCTTTGTTTTCGGGGATTAGTCGGCCATCTTGTTTACGTCAATGACTATTTCACAATCCTTTATCTTCAAGCAATATTTCTTAAACACACTTTCTCTTCTAGATTGATATGATTGTGACAGAGAACAAGCATGAAAAGAAATTCAACGATGCTAGAATCGCTCTCATTTTAGATTTACTGCGCGACTATTACGGTCCTTCAATTCCATTGTGCCAATATCCAGTTTATGGAACGCAAGGAAATCCTGTCATTCTCGATTTATTGGTAAATGGATTTCTTCTTGACTGGCTGATCGACTTTTCTCTGAGTTTATAATACTTGTAATTTGATTAAACAAATTTATTCACAACGTTTTTTTACTGCGCATGCGTTCTTCCTTGCGCGTGCGCCCTGCACAGGGGACACTTCCTCTCCCACATGTGTGAGTTGACTCAACCGATTACAAATATAATTTCCCTTCGTCCCTCAGTGTAATAACGACTCAAGTGTCCCGCCTTCTTGCCTCATGACATCATCTCTCATTACCATAATTCCGACCCCTTCCGACGATAACCCGAGCCCTCTCCGAAGGCTTCCGACGAATGCCCAAGCCTCGTTCTAAGATATTTTCGATTTCTTAAACAATAGCCCCATTGTTCGAGAACAATGTGCTGTATATAGACCCCTATATGTTCCTGCTTTGCAGTCATTTGGTTTCGGTCATCGCTTCGCAGTCACTTTAACTGTTATCGCTCCGCAGTCATTTGATTTTGGTCTTCGCTTCCCATACATTTTACCTCAGTCATCGTTTTGCAGACATTTGATTTCAGTCCTTGCTTTGTGACAACTTTAACTTAGGTATGACTTCACAACCATTTTGTCTTGATGTCTGTGGTTTACCCCGTGCGAAAGGTGTTTCCTCTATGGTCCGCTATAGTGTTTTTAGTCATTTTAAAATCCTTTCCACATCATCGGGCTCAGTATCTAAATTCATCATAAAATACCCAAAAGGGCGAGCTGTCAGTCTTAATTTGAGGACTGCGTTATGTCTGTGGATTGACTTGAACCAGTTTCAGTTTTATCACATGGGCATTTAAGCAAATTGGGCATTGTGAATAACAGTTTTAGTAACCTTTTCCAGTAAATAAATCGTTTATCACTCACTTTTTCTCTTATTTTCTTAATACCATATATGGTCATACTCTAGATAATGAGAGTATAAAAGGGTGGGTTCTAACACAGAATTCCTTTCATTTCAGAGTGTTGAACTGTTCACATCTCTAGGTCCTAACAGAGTCATGGAGAAAGCTAGAAAGCAATGCCCCAAGTGTGGTGTTTGGATTAAGCATTCAACCCATTACCATCGCCATGTGAGTAGTATGGTAAAAGCTTGGGCATGAATAAATAAATATATAATGAGGTCGGTTATCTGGGCGCTGTAGAGGCAACCACTTGGGCATGAATAAATGAATATAGATTGGGGTCTAGGTTATGGAGGGCGGTGTAGTGGGTATAAATTGGGAATAGTTCATATATAATGAGGTAGGTTGAAGATGAGTTGCAGTACTGGTAAGACTGTGTGTTTCATATTCCGTGTAGATTCCAGATTAGCTGCAGACGAATTAGTTACTGCCATCAAAGACGGCAGTCTAACTTGCTGTCATTACTCGACATTTTGTAGATGAAATCGGTGTGCAAAAGCATTGTCCGAGTATTGAGGTTCTGTCATGTGTCAATCAGAGTGACAAAGAGAGATTACTTGCATATTTTGATGCAAATGGTAAGTAGGAGAGTAAACTAGTTTAAAATTCATTTTCATTCATTTTTTGCTTTTGCATGTTTGTGAATAGTCAGGTTTGAAGTACAGTCAGTGAAGGTGGCTCCGTCACTAACTTTGGAGCATTTAACTGTGGCAAACTTTCCGTCATAACTTTTTCGTTTTTAGAACGATGGCTGCGAAACTTTGCAAAGAACAACAGATATCATTCGGCAATAGTACGACACATTCCGATTTCATTGATGGTTACTATTTCTTCAGAAATTAGCGCTTAAAAGGACCCTAGTGTTCAAAGAAAATCGCGTCTAGTGAAAAGTTTTGCTGATATTTTTTACTGAAATTTCTGGTATCAGCTTTCATTGACATAATAAATATGCCGGAGAAATTTCAGAAAAATCGTTGACGCAGAAGTCCGTAACTAAAAGTCGCTCAAAATTCAGCTGTGAAATTGTTTTGGAATTTCAAAAATAAATTACTCTCGGGTAGAAGGAGCCACCAGTTTGAATTTTCGGGACAAGTAAATTCAATGTTTGCCAAAAATGAAAACAAAAGCTGATTGCCTAAAGTGCTATTCTTTAAAAGGTACTTTTTAGTTTTAGAAGCTCCATAAATTGCTCCAAACCTTGCTCTGACGTCGAATGACTTGTTCGTCGACATTTTTAAAATATCTCTCGGCAGTTTTGGCTCAAACTCCTGCTACATACATTTTGTTGTATTGCAATGCATCCTCAACGGCTTTTTCTGCTGAACGTTGCTTCCAATTCAGGAAAAAGGTATTGGGATTGTAAGCTACCTTGTATCTAAGCTCAGATAGAACTGTCCAGCACCTTTGTTTATGACCAGAAAATGCGCACGAGCTGCAGTTGTGCGAGGAGCTCGCACCTCAGCCAGGGGGGACGAATGACAATGATGCCCATGTCTGCGAACCGATCTGTATAAACATGTATTGCAGAGTACACATAATAATCAAGAAAAAACTACTCATTAATTGAAGGAAGGAGTAACAGAAATTTCAGAGTTGTAAATTTATTCACGGGCATTATTTTTGCGATCATTTTACTTTGCACTGTGATGTAATTCGGTTCACAGGCATGGGCATCATTGTCGTTCGTCCCCCTGGGTGAGGTGCGAATTCCTCGCGGAACTGCCACGCGTGCTCATTTTGTAGTCATAAACAAAGGTGCTGGACATTTCTATCTGAGCTCTGATACGAGGTAGCGTCCAATCTCAATACCTTTTTCCTGCGTTGTAAGCAACGAACAGCACTAAAAGTCGTTGAAAATGCGTTGCAATACATCAAAATATATGCAGCAGGAGTCTGAGCCAAAACTGCCAAGGGATATTTTAGAAATGTTGAGGAACAAGTCATTCAACTTCAGAGCAAGGTTTGGAGCAATTTATAGTGCTTCTAAAACTAAAAAGTACCTTTTAAAGAATACCACTTTAGGCAATCGGCTTCTGTTTACCTGATAGCAATTTATTCTTGAAATTCCAAAACAATTTCACAGCTGAATTTTGCGCGACTTTTAGTTGCGGACTTCTGCTCTAACGATTTTTTATGTCAATTAAAGCCGATACCAGAAATTTGAATAAAAAATATCAGCAAATTTTTTTAATAGACGCGATTTTCTTTGAACAGAAGGGTCCTTTTAAGCCCTAATTTAGCAAAATATATTTACCATCAATGAAATCGGAATGTGTCGTACTGTTGCCGGATGATATCTGTTGTTCTTTACAAAGTTTCTCAGCCATCGCGTTAAAAACGAAAAAGTTATGACGAAAACTTCGTCACAGCTAAAAGCGCCCGTATTAATTACGGAGCCACCTCAACGACACGTTCGTCGAAGGGTTTTCAAATTTAGCCGGCGCCACCGGCTACTTCAAGCATTTGCGCCAGGTACTTTTTGTATTCCAAATCTACACAATTCTGTTTCACCAAACTAATCGTGATCTGATCTTTTTGACGAAATAAATAAAAGCCAACTGCTGAAAATAATTAAAAAACAGTGTGGTTATAATTACATGTATCTTCTGATCTTCGAAGCGAGAGCTTTTTTTGGCGGGAAAGTCTGCTCGTGTGCACGGACTCTCATTTAAACGTGCATGTATCGGCGCGGCAGCAGATTTGTTCTCACTCGAAAGTTGCAACATGAAGCGGAGGCAGCAAACGATGTCGTCTTTTCTGTCAACTGCGGAGAAGTCTCGAAGAGAAACAGGTAACAATAATTTTAGGAATAAGAGTTAACAAATATTACGTGTTGTTCCAGTTCTGAAAGTGACGATAAAACAATATGCTGAGGCTGAAATGACCAGTATCCGTAGCTGTAGCGGCATCCACGTGGTGAATGCGAAGGCAGTCTTTCTCGTGAAATGTTACTGATTATGGTCTTGACTGCACCAAATGTATTTTCAAGAAAAGACTGAAGGAAGTTTTAACAAAAAAAGCCTTCAACAACGCAAGTGTTGAGAAAAACTGCGAATTGCAGCGAATCGAAGTAGAAACGAAACGAGACCGCTGACTTTGTTGTGATAATACTTCATGTATGTAAAAGGAAATATAACAACAGAAGCCACTTTATGGCAATATTTCGTTATTCCGTTGATTCATTTGCAGCTCTCTTTCATTAAGAAAACAAAAACGATCTTGAGCTGGAACTGCAGGAAAATGCATTTTGGGGGTCAAAACTACATAAATGTTCTCTCTAAATGAGTAAACGTTACCTTTTTTTGTATTAATATATTGTATTGTAAAATTTTAACTTTTTTTGTAATGAAGCTGGTTGTAATAAAGCTGGTTGTTGTTGTTGTAAATGTATTCATTTAGTAAACTTCACTGGTATTAGGGTGTAAAGAATAAACAGTAAAAATTGACACAAATACTCAGTGGTTTTGTTAGATGTACCAAACATGGAAGGTTTCCCTGTGTCTGTATCAAATGCTGTAGCAACTTCAAGCAAAAATTTGCACCTTGGTGTGTCTAGTGAGTCGCAAGGGTCACAAGTTACAATGGGTTGTAAGGAAAACATTTCAGGTATAAGCTATACATTTCTTTTTTTAAGGTTTCATTGAAGTTTCGTTGCCCATTCAACCCAGGTGAACAAAGAGTAACACAACCTTTAATTTTCGTTATCCAGATGCTGTATGTGAACAATCAGTTAGTGACGTCACCGATAGTTTCACTGAAGAACAGCCAAAAAAGAAAATTCATCATTATGTAGTCTGCAAGAGGCGCAACTGCTTGGATGTGTCACAAGAAGAAAGAGCTCGCATTAAGACAGCTAAAAACAAACAGATGTTTAACCACAACCTTATCTTCAAGAAGGATTTGGCTTATAACCCTAAAGTGCAGATGTGGTGGCTTGTTTACATAGAAGGAGAGGGCCAATACTGTCTGATCTGCAAGAAGTTTGATTCCAAGAATCCCCAAAACAAGACGGACGTTTTTTCAGCTGAACCAAGTACAAGGTTGAAGAAGGAATGTCTCGAAGAACACATTGCAACAAAGAGGCACAGAGACGCCATAACTGCCATTCTAATGAACAGGTTGTCTGTTTTTCAGAAAGAGCTTGACCACAATGCCGACGTTCAAGTTGGCGTGTATGAAAGGGTTTTCTATTACCTTTACTGGTTGGCAAAGGAAGAGATAGCAAATGTAAAGGCAAAAAGTCTGTTGCAGTTGGTTGAGAAGCTGGGTTGTGACATGAGTGGTTTTAACCACACATCGATGGGTTCCCAACGGGATATGCTGCTTCTCCTCGGGGAAATGATTCAGAAGGAAGTAATTGCAGCTGTAACTGGGCCATTTGGGATAATGGTTGATGACATGACTGACATTGCAAATTTGGAGCAAATGCTCGGCTTTATTCAGTATTATAGTAAGAGTAGCGAAAAGGTTGAAGTGAAATTCCTATGTCTGGAAAATGTTCTTGCCAACTCCGACAAAGCAGATTCTGAAACCATCACGGGTGTCCTTCTTAAAGTCATTGAGAAACACGGTCTCAATTTTACGTGGTTCAAGAGCTTTGTATCAGATGGCGCAAGTGTTATGGTTGGAGAAAGGTCAGGTGTAGCTACCAGATTGAAGGCTGATGAAAGAATCCAGTCCTTAATATCTGTCCACTGTGTTTGTCACAAGCTAGCTCTAGCATGTACAGACACTTTGAATGATCTTTCTACAATAAAGCAGGTGCAAAACACACTTAACACCCTCTGGCGATTGCTTGACAATTCCAACAAGAAAACATCAATTTTTTTAAAAGTGCAACTTCACATGAATGACATAACTCTGACAAATAAGAATTCCAAGAGGAAAGTAGCCAAGAAGCTGAAAAAGGCATGCCAAACACGCTGGCTGTCATTTAACAACGCTGTTCAGTCTGCATGGGAAAGCTTTCCTGCCATTATTCAATTTCTTCTCAAGCTGAAGGATGATGATCCCACATGCCAGGGCCTCCTTGTGCAAATGAACAATGTCCGTTTTCTGTCTTGCTTGTATATTCTGAAGCATGTGCTTCCCCATCTTGACAACTTGTCAAAATCATTTCAGCATTCTACAGTCAATTTCAGTCATCTGAAACCAGAAGTTGTTAGGGCTAAGGCCGCTCTAGATGAAGTAACAACCAGTGAGGTACCTGTCAAGGAATTTAGTCACGATGTCAAGGAAGGAAAAATGGCGATGTTGCAGTTCTCTCTCTCTGAGCACCAGCTTGCATACATGCGAAACTTGCTACTCAAGTACGTCTCTACTCTGAAAGAGAATATTGATCTGAGGTTTCAAAACACCCTCCCTCTTCTTGGGGCTCTTTCAATGTTTGATCCTACTCTTATTCCTTCAAGTGTTTCAGAACTTCCATCTTATGGGGTAGATTCTATCAAAGTACTCGCCAAGCACTATTTCCCTGACCAACAAGATCGACTACTGGCTGAGTGGAATACATTGAAGTATCATATGAAAGAAATGACCCTTCCAGCTGATGTGAAAGAGGGTAAGACCATCATGCCAGCAGAGTGGTGTATGTGCCAGTTGATGAAACAGAGGTCGTCTTTCATTTCTCTTCTTCCTCTTCTTATGCAAATTGTTGAGATAGCACTGACAATGCCTATCAGCAATGCAGGGCCTGAAACGGGAGCCAGTCAAGTCAAGTTAATCAAGACAAGGCTGAGAAGTAGGATGAGTAATGATATGTTAGCTTGTCTTCTAAACATCGCAATGAATGGCCCAGAAGTCAATTCTCATGAATGTGACACCCTTGTTAAGATGACCACTGAGAAATGGCTCTCTGGAAGACGCTACAAGTTGAGCAAAGGAAAGTCTGCAGCAAGAGAAGCTCTCGGGACCTCAGAGAGAGAACCTACACTGATCGAGACCACCAATGCGTCCACCCAGACTGAAACAGAAGAGAACAGTCGGGAAGAGCAAAAGCAGCAGCAGCAAGAAGAAGAACAGGCCCTCATTAAATTAGGTCTTGCGCAGTATGCAGATGATCCAGTTTGTGATGACAGTGACTGGGACAGTGCGATGGAAAGTGATTTCAGTGACTCTGAGTAATGCTTAGAAAGATTTGAAGCTGCAAACTGATCGAGCGTTAAACTGTTTATCTTTAACTTACATGTACGCAAATGATGAAATCATGGTATTATATTACAGTTCAGTTTTATATTGCACTTCAGTTGGAGATACAAGAAGTCAAATAATGTAATAAGTACTGTACTCATGCAAAATGTGGAAGCATTCCTGGCCATTTTTGCAAAACTTTATTACTTTGAAAGCAACTAATTTTACAAAGTTTGAACACTAACCCTTGTTAATAAGTGTACAGTGGCGGTCAACAAAATCAGTTACAGGTGCAAAACATACAAGGGAATAAAGTTCATTAATCAAGGAACCCTGGTTTTTAAATTTTCCAGGGGAAGCTCCCCATTCTTCTCTGCAGAAGGGGCAGGGTTGCTCCCCCCACTCCACAAGGCTGCCGATAGTGCTCCGGCTACTTTGCAATTTCCTCCTGCTACTTTTTTTCAATTTGAAAACCCTGTCGTCGTGGGTTGTAAACCCTATTCTTTTTGTTTTAACAGTTATGTCGGTGAAGGTATCAAAAAACTGAATGATTTTTTGCAGAATCAAAGTCATCCTCCAACAGTGGAAGTAGCAAAAGAGTGGAAGCGCCGTCTGACAGGGGCTGATGGTGAGGGTCATGAGAGTCCAAGTGTTCGCAAATTATTGGATAAGGTGGGATTCGTCACGCATCGTCAATTTGGCGCTACAGCTCATTTGACTCATTTTGGTGTGATTAGAAGTGCTTTGAAACAGTGTCTCACGGAGGTATCTGGCTTGATAGATGAGTATATAGAGAGTGGTGGAAAGAGAGATTTTGCAGAAATCATAAAGTATGGTCTCAATGAAGAAGGAAACAAGCAAGTCCAGTATGTATCATCAGATGGCAAAGCAGTTTTGACAGAACAGATCATCTACAAACTGGTGAATTTGTTCACATCCACCGAGCTCATCAATTTGGATCCTGTATCTGGAGTGTGGTTTGTTTTTTTGTTGAAAGATCCTGTTCTCGAAGAAGATGCCAAACAAGAAGTTGAGGAGGGAGAATCTACTTGTCGAGAACGTTGCAGCGACGGAGAAAGAAAAGGAAGCGGTTGCAGTGGGGAAAGTTTCCAATGTTCCGTCATATAATCAGCATTATCATGTGAAACAGGTCTCGGAACGTGTGGAATGGGATCGTGCAGTGCTGGGTAAAACTGCTTGTAAATTCATCATGGAACATTTTGAACGTTGCAAATTGGGACAATATGTCGATAAGATAGATTCTGATAGAGAAGGTGTTAATGTTTATGTAGATTTGAAAGCTGAACATCGGAAAAGTGGCAATGCGTTTGTTGTCGATGTTAATTATTTTAGAAAAAAATCTTTGAAGGGGGGTGTTCCAAATGTTTTTGTAAGGGATACTAAGCAGTTGCCTCCAATGCTTCCCCATCCTTTTTTAGTGAGTGAAGATGTGAATATTTACAAAATGAAATATGAGGTTGCAGCCGTTAAAGAGCTTGCAAAAATTCAAGTATTTTACTGTTTTTATTATGCTGCGGCAGTGTGTAATCGTGTAGAGGACGAGTTTTATTGGGGTTCGGAAGATGTTGATGAAGATTGGCATGCAATCATTAGGGAGGCTTTCTTTAGATATATGGCTCATCGATTGCACAAGATTCCTGCTCACATGAATCAAGAAGATTATGACTGGTTGAAAGAGATTGCATTGTCGGCTAAGAATTCTGAAGAGAGAAAGTTTTTAGGGCTTTCTTTCAATCACAAGAGATGATTTTCGATAAGGATCGCATGTTCGATTTGTTTCGTAATTTTATTTCGGGTGGTTTTGCGCGTAAAAAACCACTTCAGAAGTATATTTTTCTTTTCATGAATCTCTTAGGTATGTGCGATCTTTATCCATTTTTCAAGTTACTCATCTATCCAGCCTCAATATCTTGGATAGTTACAAAAGGTATTTTAAAGGATGCTGAAATTCAGGAAATGACTATTCCTGCTTTATTGTCGATTGTGCTTATGTTAACCAATGTTTTACTCATCGATCAACCGTAAGATTTCATTAAAAGTATTTAGCTCTGTTTTTGAAAGAAGAGTTTCTGTATCCAATGTATTGTTGTCAATCTTTTGCCAAGAGAATAGAAGCTGTTTTTACAAAACAAAGAATCTTGGCAAGATGCGTTTCTGCAAAAGTTTCTTGCTGATATGAAAGAGGGACAAGGAGATTTCCCCGTGCTCGATTTGAGTACTGTGGGGAAACAGTTTTCTAAGTTTTTTTCAAATAATTTAGTTTGTGAATGTGATCATGAAGAAGACAAAGCACGTGTATCTGACTTAGATTAAGTTTCTGATTTATTGAGACCACTTGTGGATTTTGTACATTTTTTAAATGTTTCATTAAAGATCGATCGTTCATCATAAATTTGCAGTTGGCGTTTACTATTTTGGGTTTGTCTTTTGTGGGTAGTTGCTCGTAGACGGTTTAAATGACCGAAGGTTCAAAGAATGGACCTGTCATAGGGTGTTCCGATATTGTAAATCTGTACATCCAATAACAACCACTGAACAAATAATAGCAACACCTGGACAACCGCCCGCGATCATTCCAGTTGATGAATCACAATCGAGTACGTCTGTAGAAACAAAAGAAATGGTGGTTGATGATTTGAGAAATCAGATTTCTCATGTCAAGAAATTGAGAGAGATCATTCAAGATTGTAGGAGCGGTGTAAATAGGCAGATGGTTAAAATCATTACAAAACCCTTAAACGTTCATCCCAAACCTTCTTACTATGCGGAATTGTCGAAATTAGAATCTCACGTTATATCCCTTTGCGGCAAGATCACTCAAGCGGGTCTTGACCAAGAACATTATCTCAACGAACTAGAATCGTTGTTAAAGGAACTATTTTTAAGATCCACCCTCATGTCGTCAAGCTGGATGCTCATCCTAAGAGCGATAAGTTTACCGATAAGGTGGTAGAAAATATTTACAGGAGAAAACTAGTCACAGAATCAGCCAATGCATCTGCCGTCGAGAAAGATGACATGATGTCTTTCATAGCTCCCACTTATTATCAGAATAGGCGCTATAAGAGCTTGAAAGATGGTTCTCTCACCGAGGATCAGGTGGCGGCCATTTATGATACATATGTCTGGCTCATGGCCGATAAGGAAGTGGCTAATCGTTTTAATTTCGAGTCTGTAGAAAGTAAGGAAGAGTTTTTGGTCTATCTGAAAAATAAGAAAATGACAAACAACGAGTATTTTACATCCATTGTAATATTTTTGAAGGGTCTTTCCCAAGAGAGAAAAAAATGTCCTGCAGAAGTACAAGGAAGGGTACATCGATGCTACGGAAGTAGAAAGGCTCTTTGAATTACAACGAAAGGGGCCCATACCACAGCAGATGTGTTAAAACGTGTTTGAACATCTAAAACAAATGTTTATTGTACACATCATTGTATGTCACAATATTCACATGTAAATTTTTAATTCACATTTGTTTGTCATGAGAAAGACGATGGACTCTCCAAGGTTTAATATAGCCGAATACAAACAGTTTGTGAAATGTGGACTGTCGTATCGCATCAGCACGGATAAGATAAAAGAAGCCAAAGAGACGATGCGTTTGAGGTGTGCATTCCACGATTTTGTGCAGACATACGAGTCATTTGTTACTGCGGCCGAGGTGAAAAGATACGTCAGGGAACATGACAGGTTGTTTGCGAATTCCAAGGTGACTTACGCACATAAAAATTTCAAAAAATGTCTTGTGTTGCAAGTGTTTGGAGAGGGTTTTGTAAGGGAACATCAAAGGTTGTTTGCACGAATTCCAAGCTCACTAACGTACACATATTTTTTAAATGTCTTGTGCTGCAAATGTTTTGAAAACGTTTTTTTCTTTGTTGCTGTGTAAAGATGGCACGTAGGTTCGAGGATGATGCGTTGGTTATGGTTTTCGAAGCCAATATGGATGAATGGTTGAAAGAGGTGCAGTTCAGGTCAGGTCAAAAAATTCTCCTTGTGATTTTTGTAGCCCGGGGAATGACGATAAACTTGGAAGGGTGCGGAGATTGGTTTTTGATAGGTTTTTTAATAGGAGATATGGTAAAGTACGTGTATGTGGCAAATGTTTTAAGAGATGGTATAGTGTTACGTTGCAACCTCGTGTGTTTGATGAAAATGTTTTTTCAAAAAATTGTAGGATGGGTTTGGCTGTTAAGAGAAGGAATTGCGGTAATTTGTTGAATGTTTTACAAAATAGGGAGGTTGGTGGTGGATTTGGTTTGTTCGGTGGAAGGAAGGTTGCATGTTGTGAAATTAAAAAAGTGCAATGTCAATCGGTGTGCAGAGAAGTTTGTCCGGACAATCCTTGTCTCGATGAAAACACTCTTCGGGCAAAGCATCCGTATGTGATGCATATATCCTTGTGGAGGGGAGATAGAGCATCTGCAAAAAGTAGAAAAGAGGTACATGGAACAGTTTGGTGTTCCGGAGGGTTTTAATCCTTCGGAAGATTTTGAGTCTGCGCATGGTGAAGCATGGGGTCAGGCCATAGATGCATACATGTTTTGGAAATCTGTTGCGGAGCAGTGTGGCTGTTTGACTCTCCATGATTGTTTTGACGAACCTGGTCATTGGTTTGGTGAGTTTGTTAATTACGTATAAATTAAAACAAACATTATGATGAGAAGATGGAATCATAATGTAATTTTATTTCGAGGCATTTCCCGTTTCTTATCAGCAGTGTGCAGGCGGTGGTTCCCC